ATAGGTCATCTCGTTCTCCCCATATGTATATATATATATATATATATATATGTCATAGGAAATAGACTATCGAATTACGAACCTGTTTTAAAAACAACATTTGTAAAATTGCAAATACTACATAGAACGCGAAGCGTCCGCGAGCTACTACGATGACTGCCGATTATCGCTTATCATTTTTATATAATTATATTTGACTATCTACAGAGTGACGCAAAGAGACAGAAACCCTCTAGTGGGCTACAAACGTTTAAAAATTGAAGAAATATTCATACATTTGAAAAATTCCAAAATACATTGATACCAATCACTGGCATAAAATAAACGCGACCCGAGCCCTTATTATAAAAAGTCGAAATCGTCGACGAAGAGATGAAAATATTATAAGTTTCTCTGCGTCACCCTATAACAATTATCAACGATAACCCTAAAACTTTGGAGTTGCGATTTCGATACAGCTGTGACCTTAAACTACCTGGCGACGCATCAGCTATAAACGCTAAGAGCTAGTGAATACTGTCCTACCTATAAGTACGCTTGGATAAAGTGTGGTTCGTCTCCGAGGGTATGAAATATCGTTGAAGAAAATTGAGGTAAAGAAGAATGTAAGAGAACACATGAAAACAAAAAAGAAAAGGAACGGCTAACAAGCACGAATATTAAGAGAGCCCCGACCCTCGGGTTCATCGTCGAGCAACGTCGTGCCGAGGGACGCGCAAGGGTAACTTGACGTTCTCACATATTTACAGATAAACAAAAGGCAACTCTGCGACGTTCATATTCAAAATGATACATTAAAATGAATTAAAGGAGAACGAAGGAAAGAAATAAAATAAAGCACCACCCTATATCGTCTCGACGCGAACCTCAATTTCCCTAATCTTGTTGTTAGCTGTCGTTGGGCGGTGTCTCGTTGCCCTTGTTGTTCATAGCGAATGCAGACGACTGACTGACATCCGGCGAGACTGACTGACTTGGATTAATGACAGGAGTGATAGTCTGCACCAGGTTGCAGGAGACCGGTACTATCGGCGGTAGATTGGCAGGATTCCCAGCAGAACCCATATTGCACGAAAGGGATGGTCTCTTCCGTTCAAGACTGTTCGTCGCCATTTGTCTTCTTGCCGTGGAATTTCTTTCGAGACTATTCGTCACCATGTGATGCCGCCTTTCGAGACTAGACACTGAGCTCACGTCTGACTGGCTGCCCTGCTGAGTAAGCAGAGATATACACATAAGCTATGCAGATGACTATTAACCGGAAGTCTTTGATATGACTTGGACGTGACTGGTACCTGGAAGGAATGGTCCATCGATTGGCCCATTCGATGAAGAAGATCTCCACTTTGACTCTGTCTGAATGTCGGCGTCTGTCTGTCGCTCGACAGACTTCTGCCCAGCAGTTGTTCTCCGGACTGGCTGGACCGATTTTGATTTTCCGGCGTGGACTCTCTGGTGTTGCTTATCACCTCGCTTTGCTTTTGACAGATCCGATTGTCCACGTACGGATAACGGATGCGAATGGAATCGATTACGTCCAGGAGATTCTTCGCGTCCATTGCCAGGATATGCGCCGCGGATAGCATGCCCCTTTAACGTGGTAAGATCATTGATAAATAGTACCTAACAATCTTTTGATCACTCTCGTGAACTCAAGACTTACTTTCTATATTCGGCATCCAATGTCGTTGCACTGTAACTCTGAGCCAGTTTCATGGCTGACACAAGCTCGGCCATGTCTTTGCTCAGGACTTTGTGCGCCATTTCTACCTCCCGGTGCGCCGAGGCTGGGAGTATTTCCACCAGAGCATCCACAGAGGACAAAAGAGACCTTAATTCCACGCCCACGCGTCGTACCAGTTCTAGATACTGTTCAGCCTTACTTTGTTGTACTCCTTTGAAAAGATGTATAAATAGTGTACACTTGGTGAGCATAACTTTAGGAATATAAATATAATTAAATTTTACTGTACCTTGAGACAAAGACATTACAGCTCTCACGACACTTGTAGTACAGTCATAGACTTTGTCATTGGTTCTATCCAAATCAGCCGTTGGGGTTGGTTCCATCTTCTGGTCAATAATAATTGATTTGTTAATTATTCACAAAGTCATTTTTTGTTTGCTTAATAAATTGTTTAAGAAATGCAAATTAAAGAAGTGCAAGCAAACCAAAGACAAATGTATATATACAATGTAAAATGCTTTGGAGCTTTAAGTCACCTTGACGACTATTACTTTATCGGAACCCTTGTCAGAGCCAAGTGATCCCGTATTGGCAGTGTGAGCTTCGTGACTTGGTGATTGCGTGACGGACCTCGGTACCGGAGGGCTGGCACTCTCGTCGCCGCTGGTTGCAATCGAAAGACGTTTCTGAAAGCGTTTGTCAAAGCTAAGAGAAAAAGCTCAAGCGAAATGACGCACTAGGCGAAGGAGATAAAGATGTTACGTAGAATAGTAAAGTACAAGATAAAAGGAAAAGCAATGAAAATGAAAACAAAATATTTGTCTTTATCAAATGTCACCTCTTCTCGTGCCAACCATCTGCTGTCCTCTTCGGATTGTCTTTGCTGTTCCAATAGTCGCTGCTCAAGTATCTTCTGCTCATCGTCCACACCCCGGGTGAAACTTTCCGAGACGCTTTCGAACAATTGTGACTGTGCGTTCCTCTAAAACAAAGTATATATCGTTATTAATGATTTGATCGTTTAAAAACATCTCCGGACGGTTCCTGTAAACCTTAACGATATTTATATGCACGTAGTGTTGATTAAAGTATAAATAAAAATTAAAGAGATGCATAATTCCTCGCAAAACAAACTTGGTACATGGTTGGAGTAGCATGCATGTAAAATTATATAAATAAGTATAAAAATGCAGTAATGTACATTCCTCCATGCGTGAGCGAGCTTACCAAACCACAAAGTGTAGCCAACGTAAGGAGAAAATAAAAAAAAAAATTATATCTCTGGCTTCCTACTACAAGGAGTGCGGAGCGTTTACATACGAGAGCCCATGAATACAGTCTACTGGTAGAATATACCTATAGTATAATATGTGCACTTATACAGTATTGACAAACTTAAGGAGTAAATCGTATAATGAGTAGATCGGTGCGACGAAGAAGACGGCAAAACCAAATAATGTTGCATTCCGAAGAAGAGGGATGCGATTCGGCATTCCTAGGAGGCATTGTCAAACCTGATCTTGCTGAGCCTCCTCGGTCACAGAGCCGCTGGAGGAGACAGTACTGTCACTGACAGCGGAGGAGACCAGTGAACCGGACATTGTGCCATCGGTAGAGCTGGTGAGCTGCTCGTCAGTTTTTTGCGTTACAAACGTGGTGATCTTGGCTACTCCAGTAGCGATCTGGGGTGCGCTTGATCTTGTAACTGCCATGGCAACCTGCGGCTGGACCATTTGTGACTGTTGCGTTGTGCAGCTAGCACTCATGGCCTGCTGTGAGTTCACCGCGTTAAAACGGGATGTGGCAGGGTCTACTGAGGTCGCTAAGACCTGATTCACCTGGTCCCCCACGCCCTGGTTAGGCGCTCCGGAATTGGGAAGCTGCTGCGGTACGAATTTCTGAGCAGACTGTGAAACGTGTTGCTGGCTCGTGTTTGGTACGGCGAAGTGAGAATGCACTACGTGAGTCTGGATCATTCCTGGTTGGTTCGTAGGCAGAGGACTGCTAGTTCCGGATTGTATCTGCTGGGCGTAAGTCGCCTGGTGCATTTTCTGAGCTTGAACAACTGTTGATGGCGTAGCGTGCACAGTGTATATTGGATTTGATCCATTTGACTGATTCTGACAGCTGGTGAACTGGGCCTGGCTGTAAGAGACAGCCTGAGCTTGCAGGGAGCTCTGCCTCTGGAAGTTCTGTACGTGCTGACCACGCGTGACGTACATCGGTTGCTGAGCTGTCTGAGCTACGTTAGAGTAGATCTGTTGGTGCTGATAGTTCTGAGGATACATTGGCTGCGACTGGAAGTTCTGCACCGGTGTCGGACTGTAGACCAGGTTGTTCCTGGCGTTTTGCATGTGCGAGACATTTGGTGGTGTACCAGTCTTCATCTCACAGCTCTGGCTCTGCGCTGACTGAGCTCGGAACTTCAGTACCGGACCGTATAGGCACTCGGTAGCTGATGATGTCATGACCGTCGTCAAGGAACTAACGCTACGGGAATAACCACCACCGGGAGCACCAGGAGTCTGTCCGCTTGGAGGATTTTGAGTGGAATTTTGTCCAGCACCGATACCACTGAAGGGCTGCGCCCCGACGCTACTGGGGAACTGGGAGTAACTGCTAGACTGACTCTGAGCATGCGTGCCAGGGACGTACTGACTATGCGATACTATGACATTCGGCAAGCTAGAGGGTCCATAATTTCCAGGATTCTCACCGAAATTACCACCTACACTAGGACTCTGACTAAGGTTGCCAACGATTGCTGAACTCTGAGTGAAATTCGCGACCGGGCCGTATATCTCGGCGCAAGCGTTACTCGCTATCGGCACTGCGTTCGAGGTCGAGAACTTCTGCACTGGCGAGTAGAGGTCACCGGTAATGCTACCGACGACCTTTGAGCTAACCGCGTATAAATTCTGCATCTCTTTAACCTTCTGCTGCTTTCGACAAGCTGCAGGGGACTGGCTCTGACCTGAATCAGACATAGTTAAGCTGGACATTAAGGGTGACACGGTGTCGGAGGAGTCTAAGGAATCTAAATTAGTTTCAGACAGTGTTGAGTCTCCGGACTGATTGTCGTGGGAGATTCCAGCTTCGGATACGAGTGGGTCGAAGAAAGGTAGATCTGAGACTACGGCAGTGGTGAGGATCTGATCCTCGTCTTGGAACTGGACTGCAAGGGTATTAAAAGGTGAAGCGGGTGTCGTGTAGACCGAGGGACATACCCCCCTAGTCTGGTTATCCTTCAGGAGCTGTGCCAGGACCTCAGGACTCTGCGCCACAATGTACGTCGAGACCGGAGCCGTCACTGTGAGTTGAGTTTGATCCGTTGCATTCTGCGGTTGTCTAGATGGCTTTGGCGGCGGGACGTCGTCTGCTCCTGGAATTAGAGAAAAGAAAATCATAATGAATCATATTATTATTTAATAAAGATTCTTTAATTAAACTTTTATTACGTACCCCAGGACATTGCCTGTACCCTTCTGTTTTCCCGCCTCATAGTCTCCTGCTGCTGATGTTTCTCCTCGAGGAGAATCTCGCTGCAATGAAAATACGCAATTAAGTGACTGAAGTAAAACATTCAATCTTACTTCCACTTTAAACTTTGGAAACTCTTAAAGACACTTACTGCAAGTTCTCTCTAATATCCTTGAACGTTGGTCGCTTGCTGGGCTCGTAACTCCAGCACTGAGACATTAATGAGTATAATCGCGGTGGGCAGTGATTGGGAAGTGCCAATCTCTCGCCATTTTCTAATTTACGTATTACTTCGTTATTCTTTACACCCTGAAAAGGCTTCACTCCCAGCATGAGTATCTCCCACATACAGACTCCTGAAACGTCAAGGAAACTCTAGTTAGTTATCACCAACCACTAAGATATAACTTTTCTTAAGGAAACTTCCTTACTCACCAAACATCCAGACATCGGATGATGTGGTGAATCTTCGAAAGTTTATACTCTCCGGTGCCATCCACTTAATTGGAAGCTTACACTTGCTCGCTGTGTAGTAATTTTGATCCTCTACCCATCGGCTTAATCCAAAATCTGCAAGTTTTACACAGTTGTGCGAAGAAACCAATACGTTTCTTGCTGCGATGTCTCTGCAGAAGATAAATTATGTTTTTTAATTTTATGCAATTTAATTAATTATATGAATTCAAGAATTTGATGAATCTAACCTGTGCACGAATTTTTTACTCTCGAGATATGACAGCGCTGTACTCAGCTGGAACGTGTAGAGGAGCAGTGTAGCTAGATCTAATCGATTCTTATTGGACTGCAAATAAGCTCTCATCTCTCCCAATCTGGCCAACTCCATAACTAACCAGATTGGAGCTTCTGAACAAACTCCAATCAGTCTAATGATATGAGGATGTTCGAACTGTTGCATTATATCTGAAATTATAGAAAGAAAATAGATTCAAGACTTTTTTGGAATTAAGAAAATACTTAAGGTTTTAGAACTTTCGGCTTACAAGCTTCTTCGAGGAACTTCTCAGCAGTTGCCAAATCGGCATCGACCTTGCAGGTTTTTACAGCTACTGCGATCGTCTGACCATCTCGACCTTTGTATGAACCCTTATGAACATTTCCGAACTGACCTTCACCGATAATCTCACCCAATTCCACCTGGTTTCTTACGATTTGATAATCCCGTGCTAAAAGCAGATGAATCAACATTTTTTGTTGTATTTAAAGAGGGTGGATGTTTTTCTTCGCAATAGAAAAAAAAATTGTAGGCCCTACTTGCTGGTGTAGAATAATCGCCTTCCTCGTCAACTATCTCCGCATAATCCTCAGACAAAATGGTGCCAGTTTTTCCAGCATTTTTTTCTGGGCTACCAGTAGCATCCTGTCTGTACTTTGGCGGATGAGCATCTAGTTACAAGAAATATTCACGTGATTATTTAACATTACAAAACTCTCTGTCGCTGTATAAAAAGTCATTATAAAATATTCTAAGTATCAATTGTATTGAACAGTTGTAATATAACAAACCTTTGCAAGGACATGGATAATTTTTCCATGAAGCAGCTTGAAAGTGTACAATAAATTATTTTCAATATAGAATCATATTAAGGTACGAAGACATAAAATTAAAATGTTGATACATAAATGAACAGCGAAGTCAATTACATATCCATACATTTATTACCTTTACGATTCCAAAGAGAAGTATTGCTGCCAGTAACTAGTCTACAATAACCGTCAATCAAATCAGCAAGGCTCTCAGCTTGATCCAGACTGGAACAAGTGATGCTGAGAGTCTCAGCAGCACCAGCAACTCTCAGTTTGATGCACGCCTTCGCATGTTCCTTGCAATCCGAGACAAGTGTCTGAATGGACTGTATCTGTGAGAATTCCGCCATTCTCGTAGGCTATAAAGAGTTTTAAAAAATTTCATAAATATCAAACATCAACAAAAGTACCATTCAACAAGAGATATCTGAACACTAACCACAGTACCACCACGATGAGCCATGTAGGAAATACCAAGGTCTGGACCAATGACTAGCTCCACAGGAATGGACCAACTTGACTGCACAATAAAAGGCACAAGAAAGACCTCGATCAATTGATCTTTATACGCATTGCAAAGTGCTCGTTAGCTTTAAGCTTACCCCAAGAGCACAAATGAACCTCTCTTGATCGAACCTGTAGTGCGACCTTAGGAGGTCAAAGAACTTGAACATGCACTCGAGTTCCGAGTGAGATGCGACCTTCTTGAAGTGCTGCTGAATGAGCTTGCGTAGCGTTTTTGGCTTCATTCCATTAAGCACCGAACGAGGTAAAAACTTGTGCAAGCCCACCTATGAATTTTCAGGATAGTAAACTTGAGTATATATTTTTTCAGAACTGGACTCACTGCAAGAAATAACCTCTCTCTCCCTCTCTCTCTCTCTTTCTCTATTTCAAACTGACCTCTCTCTCCAGGTACTCAAGATTGCTCTTCTTGTCAAGAGCAATCTGCGGCATGTCCTTGAAGAAATAACGTATCTCCAAGCAACATAATTGCACCGCAACATCTTGATCCAGGGCCGCGTGATTAGCACTCAGGTAATCGTTTCGCACCTAAAATTAAATCACAGTGTCAGAAAAGATTTTAAATAATATATTAATAAATGACAATACTAATTACCAAAGTGTCTTACCTGGTCGTAATAATAATAAAACGTGACTTTGTCCTTCTCATATAAATCATTGAGATTTTGGGGTAAATAACGAACCCTTAACTCGTACCTCCACTCACTGTGAGGATGTTTCCTTTCGTATTTTTCTTGAACCTGTAGATAAAAAATTGTATTAAAATTCCCCTCAAAAAAAAAAAATATTAATCACAATCAAACCCCTTTTCGTACCTGATACATGGTCGTGTCCTGATGCAACCAGTAACTCTCCCCTGATCCAGGGTGATGCAATCTCATGGCGTATAAATTCCTATAATGCCTGGTTCCCACGGCAAGGCGACTAGTAACCAGAGATATGATACCCCTGACATCGATGGCATCCCCAAATTTCACGACATTAAAACCCCCTATAATTATATATAATAAATATTAAAAACAAGAGGTCAATTTCAATCAATCAAACATTCAAAGGAAACTGAGCAAAATCATTCTCACCATTTGGCAAGTGAACCTTCAGGGTGGCTTTGTCCATGGGGGTAGGTGATCCATGGGGTGGCGTATTTCTGCCACCCCCACCAGCCTGCACACCACCAACACCACCACCGCCACTGCCATCTCCGCCAGTGCTCATCCCCTCATGGCTGAAAAAAAAAATTTAATGAAACAACCCCTTGCCAATACATACTCAGCATCAAAGCGTCTATAAAATTCAAAATTAATTAAATCCATCCTGATTCTTTCTGTAAACGCAGTTTATTAATTAGACGCCAGTGACGTCATCCTACGTACCAAAGAGGTTCTTGCTAAGAAATCATTCACCTTTTTTAAAATATTTTCACTGATAAGCTATCATTGCTAATATATATAACAGATTCGCACATCAGATATGGACCAGGCGTACCATTAAGGTAATTCGCTGATTTTATTAATGATTTCAAAATGGCCGATAGTCTCACGGAGATTATAAGATTTTTATTACTCGTTTCACGAGCACGCAATATATTGTGCAATTTGTTTATTTATTTTGAATCATCAATGATTATATATCTCAAGCAGATAAGTACAAGGTAGAAGACGTCCAAATCGAGTATTTATATACGGGATATTATAAGTGCACAGAGTCACAGGACAGGTTCACACTTTATTTACGGAGCACAAAATGGAGTAAACTGTCTGCAAGGATATAAGTAAATTAAGTGACGTAATATAAAAAATCCTGAAGTGGATCTCAAAAGTGACTACGGTAAACGTAACAATTATAAATCGAAAAATAGAGCGGATATTATTATTATTAAAAATAGATAAGAGGTCGATGACCAAATATGCACGTTGGGGACATATTTGATTAATTTATTCGAAAGGAATCAATGATTTTTGAATGAAAAATTAGAAAAAAAATGTTTATCGGCTCACCTGGGTAAATCATTATATTTCTGACTGCGTCGAAGCGCATAAGCATACACACTGTCGTCCTGACAATAAATACACTTATAAATCAACCCCAGTCTCGGACCACGCATTTTAGTCACTTAAAACAAAAAATTTCAATCACATCTCGACCGTCGATAGAAACCAACGCCGAGCGTCGTCACGAGGATCCCACCAGCCTACGTCATACGTCACCGAGTCATCCTGTGAGATGAAGATCGCAAATATTTCATAAATCCGTGAGACCATTGAAAAGAGAATCCGACCGATCAGCCACAGTGGCCATTAGTCCTAAGGAGAATGATAAATCAACGTTGTCGGCTTATCTTGTTATCAGGAAAATTTGGAGCGCGACGTTGAACGAAATCGCGATAATCGCCTCGTGCGCGTATGGCGAATTATGAATAGAGCATACAGTTTAAAAAAATTGTTTATTTATCAATATAGTTATGCATTTGTTACGTAGTATTAAAATGATTGACAATAAAATTATCGATACGCTTTTGACTCCTCGAGAAATCTCTTTGAGTGGCAGTACGACTTCAAGCACGTATACGGCATATAATGTAGATACTCGCATACAGTGCCCTTGGGCCCCTTGAATAAAATGCCAAGACTCACCGAGGGACAGGAGCTTTATGTCAGCAGCAGTAACGCGTGACCGATGACAGTTGTCGTTCTTTTGAAAAGGAACCCTCCTCATCGTCCTGAAGTAACCACCCGTTGCCATTGAATATACGATACGTGTATGGATGGCGTAGGTATCGCAGCCAACTTCACGCGTAACACGCTATACGTTAGAAGCACTATTCGAATGTTGAATTCCACTATACTGCCGCAGTATCAGGCATTGAAAGTAACGTTTATTTCACAAGCCAGCGAAAAAGCGAGACACAAGGCGGGCGTCTTCATTCAAATTCCGTATGCGTCCCCGACGCTCCTTTTCTAATACCGATGGAATATTTTCTGGGATCGGTAATGAAGTTTCGTGCGTTATGATCTAATACCGTCCGACGCTAGGCGGCGGCCGACTTGTCGACGGAGCGAAGGGAAAATTTTACGAGAAGAGAACAAAAGAGAAAAACTTCCAGCTACGTAAGAGCACTACTCATCGCGCATAAATACGTGAAATGACACAACAGACAACAAGGAGACGAATGAAAATCAAGAGGTTCGTCCGATTGTAAGTCTAACTTAGGATATTGACTCTCGCACTCACCCCGGAAGTATAGGAAACTATGAAAATTCAAAGCCATGTTTTAAGTCTTCCCCTCTTTCTATCGAATGACAAAAGGTCGATACGAATTTCTAACGGGTGTCACTTTTAGCAGTATCTGCTGATGCTTTGTTAAGTAACGCATCGTCATGTACTACACTAATATACATTTAATAAAAGTAAATTAGAACACAGTGTAAAAGGACGTTTTAGAGAATTTCAGGGATATTACGCAATATGAAAAAAAAAACCAACGCCTCGCCTAATCTGTTATTCGTGGGAATTTCGCCTGTCGCATGTCACGGAATATGCGATGCATTAGCGAGTGAGGCGAATATTCAGAAAGCAAGGCAATATATGTATATACATAGATACATGTATGATCTGAGCTTACAACTAGGAACTTCCAAAATTCACCAATGCAGTCAACCCCAACCTACTTTAAACACACGTAATGTACAATACATATACAAGTATACTCAGAATATTATCACGAGTGGAAACCTCTTCTCAAAATTAGCAAAGAACATTTGCGAATTACACGTGAACCGCATATACTCGTAACTCCCGTATTATTATATTGCGAATTGGGAGTGTACCATATTAATTTATACGTATTTCGAAATTTCTCATGCTCATATCTATGTAAATACGTTACGCAGCACATGAATACACACGCGAGACACCCATTAAGTGTCCATAAGTTCGAAACGCGTATAAAAAGAGGTCCTGAAGTACCTCGCGATTCGGCAAGGAATTTGCATTATTCCAGAGTCTCGTTTCGCGGCGGAATTGCACTGGGTATAGTAGGTACCAGCTGTTAATGTAAATGCACATTACGAGCGTCCGGCTAAAAGGAATGTCGTCGGTCAGGGACGAAACGTTTAGTCAAGGGACCCGTGTCGTATTGTCGCAACGAGAATAGACCCAAGAAGTTATCCCAGTTACGGTTAATCGATATTGATTGATAATGAGGCAATCGATAATTGACGTATTAAATATAAAAAGTGACAGCAGCGTCAATGAAGAATGAGTCGTGGCTACGCGAGAAGTCAACGTCCCGGACGATCCTTAAGATCTCAATTATGACGAACCAATATGGACCGCTCTGGGAAGCTGCGAGCGATTTACGATCGATATTGAAATTTTTCGATCGATTGATTTTTAATCAATATATTTTTCCACTTTTTTTTAAATTCATGAATTTTACAAAATTAGGCTATTTCGTGTACCGGTATGTAAATCGATAATTATCGAAGCCCTGTATCCTATTCTTCAGTATGTTTAAGAGGAGGAAGGGAGAGAGGGGGGAAGAATACTGATCTCAGTTATACATTAATAATTACATACGGCCTAACGTCTAACGATACGAGCAATTGTATAACTAATGGCTCCTGGCTACGATGTGAATCCGCCTTACACGACTTATGCCTAACGACCGTTTTAAACATGGAATCGTGGGATCGTTTATCGGATGGTTATCGTTACTTGAAAACTAGTCGAGCTCTAGCCATAATTTATATACGATATTTATTTACTAGGCTGAATATTCACGCAGTACTTGAAGACTGGGATCTGGGATATATATATATATATATATATATATACATATATGTGTGGCAAGAGTGTGGAAAGTTGGTATCTGGAATTGCTGCACGTAAACATAATGCACTGATGATTATCATCAATTGGCATTAAAGCAGACACCGTACAGACAGTATAAATATACAGTATAAATATCGAACGATATTATATGCGGATTAATTGGCGGTATCACTGATAACGATAATTATTAACTGTAATTAATCGAAGGATTTAAAATTAAGGATAAACAAATTCTTTTTTACACTAACAATCCTCGGACTGTCTCTAGATCGGAATGATTTGTTCACCCGGTATATTATAATTGCGTGGGCCTGAGAAAATGGAGGCGAGTTACGGGAACCGTGGGGAACATAGCCATGAGTACACGGTGTGACGTCATCACGGACACCATCGTACGATTTGTACGATACGAAGGATCGCAATGTCGCCGATTGGAAATAATGAAATTTTGATACTTTTTTTTGGGGGGGGGGAATTTTATAAAATTTTTAAATTATCATAGAATCTGACCTGCTCGTTGGCGACCTCTAACGCACCTGCATCAAAACGCCTACGTTTTTCCCTTTCACTCGAACTTTCTCCGATCGCTCCTCCGCAATCGATATGCCCTACCGCTTTGCACGTGAATATTTTTCGTGTGAATTTGCCCTAAATACGCAATTCTGGCGTATTGCACCGAATCGCACTTCTTCAAAGCGCCGCATGCGAGACCCGGTGAGATTTCTCAAATGGACCAGGTCTGTATTTACTGTTTTCCAAAAATATAAGGGAAATTTATGCTTCATGATTATTATGGGGTTCCATGGAGCCCAAGGTCGAAATTTGATCCCTTTTTTATTTTAGGCTAAATTACGCAATTTTACTCGGTGATTCTCGCGAGGCGCGAATGGCGGCAAAATTCAATTGCGGTTTTGCTAACTTTATGGCAGACGTTGGTAATTCATTGTGAATGCTGTGGGAGAGGTTAGGGTTTGGCCATTTTCATTGTTGGGAGGAATATACATATATGTGTCAAGTAATGGAAATCGATATAAAGGGTTGTGGAAATTGAAAAAACGATGTATATGTGTATGTATATATATAGGTACCTTACGCGCGACACTCTATGAAATTTCCATGTGCCCAGGGTATCAGGGCTGTAGTAATCATTGCAACGACCCAGGGCACACAGGAGGCCCTTGCTGTCCCTTTTCCACCTTCTCTCGCGAAAAGTTGGTCCGCTCTTTTCTCGCCTGAGAAAGACGTCCTTGTGATTTTCAAAGCTCCGCGGCAACCGCGCCATCGCGACTGGCCAGGATATTCCACTAGCTTTTCGCTCCACGAGTTCCAGCATTGTATATTCCAGAGGGCACTTTACGAACTATTTCACTTTTTGTTAATCTTCGTCCACTCGTGTCATAGTTCACAAAAGTTCACGATACACGGGTATACGATTTATACATTTTGAGTGTAGCCGATGGCGGGAAATTTAAACGAGATATTCGTCGTAACACGTGACAGAATCACTGACGTCAGCGTCATTGTCCGTAAAGACCGCTTGACTGATTACCAAAAATGATTTTTTATCCAATTTTCTTTTTTTTTACGGATCGCTCGAAATATCTCTGGATAAAAATTGGAGCAACCTTTTTTTTTTTGGAAAAAAAAAAAATTATCCTTACCGATAATTTAATTTATACATCTTTTACTTTTGATTAAGGCGCGTTCACAATTCGATTGCACAGACCGTTACACGCGAGTTTCAGAACGAACCTGAAAATTATTAACCGATGAAAATATGTCACGATAGGTTAGAGAAAGAAAATTACGAAACACCGACGAATTTGAATTTTTGATACGATTGACGAAGTCCAACTGACGCTGTATATATGCCGAGTGAGAATTCAAATTCCCCGACAGAGTCATACGATTTTATTCAAATTAGCAGCCTGACACTTTTAAAAAACTAGTCAAGATTCCGGGACGCGGGTCTGTTACTAATATTTCGCGGGGCACGTGGGCGTAGCGTTGCGCCAACGCGGAACACCTGGAAGGCCGCAGGCTACTCGTCCTCCGTTGTGAAGGTGTCTATAAGTTTTTCAAAAAAAAAAAAAAAAAATCAAAAATTTTTCCCAATCAACGTATCACCGTACCGTATCCTTTTCTTTAATTCCACAATTTACACTGCCAATTTTATCGATATTTTATTTTCCAAATTTTCTTTCAATACACGTCACTTTCTTTTTTTATTCGCATCCACATAACCACAGGTGCACGCATTGACTGTCAGCTCGAAACTGATCGGCAGGGAAGACAACTCCTGTGAGTCTCTCCCTCTTTCTCACAATGGCGTGGGACGCGCGGCTGTTCGTTCAGAATTTCCAGGACTTGCGGCAAATTGTGCGTAGCTACAGGGTGATTCAGGATAGGCTAAACCGTAAAGAATCATCGGCAGAAAACCACTCCCCGTTTCTATACCTATATACACTATTTTATGTATTATATTTATACACAATATATATATACACGTATCACCCTGATGCATTTCCCACTCTAGTCTCTCCAGGGTGTGGTATTTTTTAACCGATACGACATTCCTGAACCCGCGTCAGGATGTCCCGCGAGGTACGTCCCTGGCTCTTTGCTCCCATGCTCCTTCCCATCTTGATAAACCGCAAACGTACACTGTCTTATCTCATCGGACGTACCGATAACGAGATGCAGCTTATCAGTTATGCTTTGACGTAAACTTGAGGTTTCTGTCGTATCTGCAGCGCGCTTAAAGGACCGTACCAATAAATGAACGTGCCCTGTTCCTTTGGCACGTTAAACGATCGATCGAAGAAAAAATTTCGTAATTTCGTAATCACGTCGATTATGAGAAATTCAAAAAATATATTGATTAATAAAAAGAAAAAATGTTTCTACATCTCATTGTTCCTGCGTTACGTCAAATACCAGCAAGGCTATAGCTGTGCGTTCGCTACTCGTAAACCAAGAAGATCGTTATACGACTTGACCGTATAAAGAAATTCCGGACGGACGACCCTGCGTCTCAATAAAATAATTACCAGTGCACGCGGAAGTGCGTCAGGCGCGTCTGTCATTATGTGTAATTTATTTTTCCAGTTTTTTAAAAAATTTTTTTACCCCCACTCCTCGCCCTTAACCATCCTTTCTCTTGGACTTAACACTGACCGATCTCATACTTGATACCCGTGCACGCACACGGCCTACACACAATCGTAATTTCCTTGCTCGGTGAGAATTGACTCATCGCAGCATCCCGGTCCAGCGCGGATTAATCACTGAAACGTGTCATTCGTAATTATCGGCAAGTTTCTTTACAGCGAGTGACTACACGTAATTGTAACTGTATCCCAGCTGCCTGAGTGATCTTGATTTTGAACGAGATTGATTTTAAAAAAAATATCGATGAACCAATCGGAACATCCGAATCGATCGATTCGATAGAATTTCATTGATTTATATCGTAGTCGGTATTTTCGTATTTATCCTGCGTTAAATTTGTTGCAGAACACCGAGTTAATAAAAGCCCCGCTTATTAGCTCACTCAATTAGCGTTAATGAGCTCTTGGTTAATGAGCTGAATTTACTTGAGAATCTTGTACACGTAGATATACACGGTCTAATGCATTCTGCATATATAGGCGCTTTGGGATTTACATTTTTCTCACGTTAAGGCAACCGGCATTCTCGCGTGTCGTGAGACCGAGAAGGAACGGCGACGGTCTTGCGTTTTACTCGGAACAAGAACAATTTGGCGGAAGAGGTTGCGTAAACCTTTTTTCTCTCATTTTTATGGAAACAGAAAAACTCGAAGAAAGGAAGGATACGAGGAACGAAGAAAATCATTTCCTTTTCTGGAAGCACGAACCGTGATTGAAAAAAAAATAAAAAATAATTTTTTTACCTTTCTCCTTTTTTTCCCTATAAGAGCAATATTAATTTTTTTTTTAATTTATAATTGCTTCGATACAACAAACAAATTGCAAGTGCCGTTGCACTGTTTTATACTAGTATGAAAAAGTCGACCGGTATACACTTAGGGTAATAAACAAATGGTTTACCGATGTAGATTAGTTCAAATTAAGTTCGCCGTTCGGGAAAGATTACACGGCTACCAGTCGAGCGGCAACAGTGAACGAAAAAAAAAAATCGAACGGAATCGATTGATTGGTAATCGAAAAAAAAAAAAAAAAAAAAAAAAAAAAAAATTTGTACAAATTTTTTGTAAAATTTATTTATTATCAATTTTGTCACGTCTGTTCGACGATGCGTAAAATTTTCGTTATACCATTGATCTGTGCGGTGTCTCTGCTTTGTTGTCGATTTGTAAAATCAGTCAACGATACCCATTTCCATGACAAATCGATCGAGGAGTCAGAGGAAACGGAAACAACGACGATGGATACGACGACCGTAACGAAAATTACGGAAACCACTGAGACGACGCGAAAAACGACGAAGATGCCCACCGAAAGTTCAAATTCGAATTTGACGACCGAAAAACCCGCGGAGAAAGTAAATTCAGAACAGCCGAGTGAAACGATTGTCTCAAATGACAATACGAAAGGTAATTGGATGAAAGTGAAAAACAGCATCCGCGACGACCTGATGAACGTGCAGGCGATACTCGTAAAGGACGAGGAAGTCACGAAGCAGTGCCAGACGGCGAATTTGGAAGCGTGAGAAAGATTTTAAAAAAAAATTTTTTTTTTAATAATCCATTAATCCAAAAATTTTTTTCAACAGAAAAACTAGATATCTCATGTGCGGCGGTTCCATCATATCCGATCATCACGTATTGACGTCGGCGTCGTGTATACATGAAGCGACGCACATCAGGTGCGTCCAGTCGATAAAACGTTGTCTTGGCCAGTGGAATATTTTTAAAAAATTTGGTTTGAAAACGAAAAAAAAAAAAATTTTCTTATCTAACCTTATCATAACTTTTCAATATGATACTCGGAGACACCTGTGCTAAGAATAAATTTTTAAGACTTTTTTTTCTATTAATTTAATATCGTGACGTCACGTTTCGAATTACATTGCAAATTTAACGTTTCGATCTAAATTGTACGAATTACGTATATGAGGTCACTAATGATGTCACTAATTAACGTCGATTATTAGCATTGGCAAGACTAGTCTCCTGTCCCACGAGTGGTATTGACTTTAAGGCTCACCCTCAATGCGATTAATATTGCAGGCATAATATAAAAGCGCCACTGGCCGTTGTCATAGCTCCCACGAAAAGTGGTTCGCAGATAATACGAGTGCAGGATTACGTGATACATCCAAATCATCAGGACGATCCTCACAAGGCGAATCATCTCGACCACAATTTGGCAATACTCAAATTAGCATGCAGGTAAGGCACACACGAGTAAAATAAAGTGACGATGGATAAGGAAGAAAAAATTATTATTTTTTTTTTAGAATAAAAAGCAACATTTTGAAAAAAGTTAAATTGCCCGAATCTCCCTTCACCGAGATATGCGGCGATGGGAATTGCATGGCTACATTTTTTCGAAAACTCGGAAAGGTAAATTTTCACGGGAATAATATTAAAAAATAAAAATAACAATAACAATGATAAATTGCAGTCCTCGTATAGAATGTACGAGATAACTGCAGAAAATATACCGCTATCGAAACGTAAGAGGGATCAGAGTGCAGTTTTATGGTCAACGAAGGTATCGAGCGTGACGGAAGGGCCGGGGATTGATAAGAAAAGGAATAATCGAGAAGTTCGAAAATTAATTCATCCGCCCACGTTCGACATCAGTTTCGCCGCCACTGGTGCGGAGAGAGCCAATCGGAATTGGCTAAAAGTTTCAAGTGACACTGATAACACGAAAAAGGCGAATACACAAAGTACGATAGGTTGGTTGATGGAAAGTTGAGTTATTATTTAAAAAAAAAAGGAAAGTCTAATAAGTTTTCGAAAAAAATATCTTTTCTTCTCAGTATCGACGAGTGCGACTACGATTACTGAAAAAACTACTAGGAAAATGGGACCGATGAAAACAACCGATAAATCGATAATCAATAACAATAGCGTAAAGTCAATAATGACAAGAGCCAGTGACGGTACGAGTCGTTGTCCCTCAACGGGAACACCAGTGATGTCTGAGGATGTTCAGGTAAGGTGTGACGGAGAAATAAAAAAAATTTGTTTGAAAAAAAAAAATTTACCAACTTCAATTTTCTAGACAGCATTAGTGTCAGTGCCCTGTGACGATCGTCAGCCATTCAGAGCCTGGGGATATACCGATCTGTTCGTTAACATCGATTGGATAAATCATACGGTGGAAAATTTGAAGAAACCCGAAAAACCGGCAAGCGAGAATGTCGGTACAGGACCTTGCCACACGTGCATATTCAATTTCTACTTTGCGAAGGGTCACGATCAGAAATACGGAAGCTCAGAAAAGCCCGATTGCAGTAAGGTGATCACAATAGCCAGCAAAGATAACGGCCTAAGTAGTAATATAATGCAAAGCTTAAAGATTCGGGTGTTAAACGACAATAACAAAAATCCGATAGTATTTCATTCGAATTTCGGGGCACAGAGCGGCCCTGCATTACCGACCGCGTATGCAGCCGCGCCTGCGCGCGAGTACCGATCGAACGCGGACTCGATCGACCAGACGTCCAATGACGATAATCGCCGATCGACAATGGAAAAGCGTAGGAACGTTACCGGAAATTGTACGCCGGAACCCGATATCCTCGGCATGGGACTGAATGGCAAGATGACGCAGATTAAAAAAGCGTCGCTGGCAACCGAGATAAGAGATAATACCTTGATGGAGAGGATGAAATTTTTTAATTTTCAAAATCAAAAAAAAACAATTCAAAATCAATCCCAGCGAGATATGTACACCGAGGGGCAAGATTATGGACATTACATCGATAAAGAACCGAACGTCGTACCGGAAGCATCGAAAACGATATTCCCACGTGGTGGCGGGAAATTTGAAAATCAGCAACCCCGCCTGCCGGTTCGATCGACGGAAAATCGAGCGAAGAATAATCAATCCGATACGTCGCCGTTGGATGCGGCTAATGCGACCTTGTTATATCCAAATTTGAGAGGATTTTTCAAAGATCCAAAAAAATTGTCAAATTACCCAGAAATCATGGAAAATTCGAATACCGATGACAGTCCCGAGGATCACATGATAATCGTGAAGCTGCGCATAGAAGAGCCACGTTACGATCCATTGAAGACGTCGAGTGAGGTAGAGGAGGCGATACTGAAAAATATGAGCGTAATGATCGACGGGGATCGATCGAAAAATTCGGAGATCTACGTAAACGGGAAATCGTTAAAGGATTCCGAAATTTACGTGTACGGCGAGAGAACACGAAAATCACGTAATTATCGAGAGAACCGAGATTTTCGATATTCGTCAAAGACAACACAAATTTATCAGATCGATCGAACGACCGATAAATCGATTACGTGGGCGAACGATCGTATCGTGCGACTACCGAGTTCGACCGGTTACGCGACCAGACAGGAGCGACAATCATACGCAGTCAACAAGGCGACTGTGGAAACGAGAAACTACAACAATGGACATCCTGGTCGACCAATGGAATTTTCTGACAATGTCGCTAATCTGCGAGCTGCGAGAAAACAGGATCTCCATGAATTATTCCGCAAGAATCGGCAAAAGGGAAGGGACTAATTTTTATATCATTATTATACATTTATATATACATACAAATATATGCCTATAAAATTAATTAAATTTTTATCTTATTTTTATTTAATATCCGTTCGAGTATCGACCGATCGAGTAAAGATTTTTTTTTCAATTTCCACGAGCTCGAATCTTTCCAAGATTTTAGACTCAATTTTGTAAAGTGGACTTCAGATTGAATAATATTTGCGCCATTATCTGTCATTGGGTTTAACCATGGATAATACACGTGGCCAAATGTCAAATGGTTCGTGGGATGGTTCGATATTGGTAAACATTCGGTATATATATATATATTGTTAATTTCTGATCGACCGACAAAAAGGATAATTGAAGTTCTGGTAAGGTGCGTACTAATTGAGTGCAGCTAAACGACTCAGTTTAATGCGTCTGCTTAAAGCGATTTCAAGAACGCTATCAGCGCTTACTACGTAATTCTCAAGTGTAATTAAAATGTCCATCGATACCCATGCACCTTGGGAAGCTTAATTGCCCCGATTAAGCAGTCATTAGTAAGCGAGCGAACCACGTCGGATTACGTTGCTGAAGTCAAAAAATTAATTAAAAAAAAAAAAAAATAATGTCACTCCAATCGATAACATTGCTATTGTTATTCGCGACATTCGCGAAAGTCAAAACTAAAGAAATAAGGATATCGAAAAATTCTTTCGAAAATTACGAAATCGACGTTTTACGTGAAAGGTCCGAAAAATCTGTGATACCCAAGAAATTGTATCGGGACGATGAGACGATGTACGGGAGTTCGTCGAATCGTAGAAAAATCACGAGACCGAAAAGAAATTCGGAGACTCCATGGATAGTAAAGAATTTCGAGGGTTATCAAAATTTGACAGCATTTCACGCGCTCGTCGTGCGCGACGAAAATATTCCGGATTGCGGTATGGCGGCGAACGTGAGCACGTAAGATAGAGGGAGCGGGTGGGTGGATAAGGGGGGGGGGCGAAGGGGGTAGAAATAGAAAAAATGTCACGTGCTCATTTATTTTTACTATTGATTATCGATTTTTTAGGGAAACACGATACTTCATGTGCAGCGGTGCAATTCTGACGGATAGACATGCAATTACGACTGCCTCCTGTATGCACTTTGCGCATATTTACGAGCAAGTATAATTGGGCCTATTGACGGGAAAATAATTTTGGATTAGATTGCGGAATATAATAATTTTTTTTTTTTTTTTTTTTTTTTTTTTTATTTT